GTAGTACTCAGGAGAAGAAGGGAATTATGGTATAGACTTGGCTAATATCCCTGGCTCAGTGATAGAAGGAATATTGTAGTTTACTTCTCAGTAATGTTATCCTCGTTCAGGTTGGACCATGATCATATAATAAAAATGTTGGATATCTGCCCACCTGATGATCTCGAACATTTTGATGAACTCTACATTGTATTATGTCTTGTACATTTGCCCCCTCAAACAAGGTTCAGGTTCTCGAGATTGCCGATAGTGATTTCAAGAAGCTGTTCCGTACGCCGGTATTCTTGACTGAACTTCACATCAAGACTTTGCTATATAATCTTCTGGTCGGAGTCAAGTACCTTCATTCGGCTGGGATACTTCACAGAGATTTGGTATTGGATCTTCACCATTTAATACCGTTATTATCACTCTATTCAGAAACCTGCAAATTGTCTAGTCAACCAGGACTGTTCGGTGAAGATCTGCGACTTTGGATTATCGAGGGCTATAGGGATGGAAAAACAGCTGCACTTACAGCAGTTGCCTAATACTCCAAGAGAGATCGATGTACTATGCGGGGATCGAACCTGGGTCGTCAACATGCCAGTGGGTTGTTGATAGGCTGAGGACGGAACTGCTGAGGCTGCATCGTCGCTCGCTGCTGGCCCGATTGTCCCTCACACCCAAAACCTCAAGAGACAGCTTACTGGTCATGTCGTCACGAGGTAATACCTCTGTATTGATCCTCCTATAACCTCTTTGACATCGTCCAGATGGTATCGAGCACCGGAGCTGATACTACTAGAGGAGAACTATGGTGAAGCAATAGATGTTTGGAGTGTTGGTTGTATCTTTGCTGAACTCCTAGGTAATCGAGTTACATCCTATTCCATCATAGCTTAATAATACATATCATCATAGGTATGATGAAGGAAAACGTCGCGTTCCCATCGGATAGAGGTCCGCTCTTCCCCGGTAGTAGCTGCTTTCCACTTTCCCCTGATCACAAACATGCTACTGATTACAAGGTTGGTTGTTGTTGCTGCTGCTTATGGTGGTGGTGGCCATCTTGAGGCCTTTGGATATGTGCTCATTAGTTTCATACTCGGGGTAACCGAGATCAGCTGAATATGATTTTCAATATTTTGGGCACACCGTCTGATGAGGATATCGAAGAACTAGAGAAAGAAGATGCTAAGAGGTGATAGTGGGATGGTTAGGCTTCATGTCTTCTCATCTCTACACCCGTGTTCTATTCTTCCTAGTTGTATTTCCAACAACACTCCTCTCCATTCAGGTACATTAGATGCTTTACGCGTCGCGACGGAACTGGCATCAGGGATAAATTTAGGGGTTCTTCTCGTAAGCATTTGGATCGAAATGGCGAATCCCAATGAGAGCTCTCCCTCAGCTGAGGCATTGGACATCCTAGATCGCATGCTCGTTTTCAACCCTCGTAAACGTATTACCGTCGACGAGTGTCTCGAGCATCCGTTCTTCAAGGGTATTCGGGGAATCGAGACCATCGCGAAAGATGAGGTGATGATGATGTCACTTGTGCCCTGATAGTTAACACGGCAACTACATCCTACTATTTAGGTCTTCCTTCAATTCGAGCTCGAGCCTGAGTTAGATGAGATGCAGCTTCGAAAGTACTTCGTAATGGAGATGCAAAAGTTCCACCCGGATGTACGATGTAACGAGGTTGTGGTATTGGGTTATATCTGGTGGCGTAGGTTCCAATGCCGGCTCGATTCCAACGCATCTAGATTCGTTGGCCATGTTGATGATGGAGGCGATTATTGAAGTACCACTTTTTCTACTAAGAACAATTTGCGTGGTTGTTGATGCTGCTACTGCTGCTGCTGCTGGTCGTTATGATTCGATGTTCTTGCCATCCGTTGCGTCGGCAAAATGCAGAATAGGTGCTGCCTCGGTCATCACTGTTTGCTGATGGTAGTGCTATTGGGGCAAAACAAGATCAAGCTGTTTTTTATTCAATCGATAACTATCAGTCAACTGCAGCTCATAGTCCTTAATAATGATGATTGATTCCTATCCAGTGGCGCGGTTGAGTTATTATTCATCTTCGAACATCACTCACATAGTCGTAACAAAGATATTACCGCAGAAAACACAGTCGAAAGAACCTAGTAGGGGGGGCGCTGCTTATTCCGATATTCCATGGAACACGAGATAGAACCGAGCTGAAAGGGTATTAAGCATAGATACTCTCGAGATGGTGAGTGGTTATATCAATGATGTCATCTGTAATCTCCTCAAACATCATGAAGTCCCAATAAAGCCGACTCGTAAACGTATTGTTGGATTCCACTAGATGCGCAGTGACATGGAAGTCCTCGCACGCTTGACAAATACTTGGCCAAATACCAACACCAAACGCCATCAAAGGGGAGCCTCTACGGTCAGTATCATAGTCGCTACAGCATGTGCCTCCTCCAATTAGGGTGGTGGTGGTGGAGTTGGGTGCAGTCGATAGATCGATCGAATTCTGTGATGTATGATTTGCAGATTGAGAGGTAAGGAACGACGGAGAGAGATTCCAATGGCTCCCACGGCATGAACGATTACTGCCATTATACCTATCCAAAATGGTCATTCAAGTAAGAACTATAGCTATAGCTTGCCTCCAGTTTATAATATAGTTAACTGATGGATCCCCACATACTCGATCAACAAGGCTCTTAACGACATCTGACCGATCTATAGCGCTGCTATTGCCATCCCATAGAGGCGTCACTAGACCGCCGCTGAGAACAGTTTCAACGACATCTATTCTGTCACTTGGGCCTCCCCAGACACGTTCGAGTTCGGTCATTTGAAAGTAAATATCTTCAACACTTCTTGATAGACGAGCATCGATGTAATTGAGGGGATCTCCATGGAAGAGGTCTAGGACGATTTGAAAGCCGTAATTCACGAGACTATACTGCGGCATTTGAATTGTCTCATTGGCGGTTAGAAGTGCCTCAACAGATTTCCATAAGTTGCCGATATATGGGGTGTAGGGATCAGGCCTATGAACGTAGTATTCTGCTTGGACCTGAGACACCAAGTCCGCTTGTTGTTTGGACACCTACGCTCACCTGTTTGTCTGCTGGCAGAGGATTATGGACAGTTTGTGGTGAAGGGGGTTGCCCTCGTAAATAGTAATCAGCAGTATTGGTGATAACGTCAGATATTCGGTAACGCATTGGGATGTAATCCAGGTAGAACAAACCACGAATGATCGCTTTAGTGGTCCGACCCCCGACCGCTAAGTAATGGCCAGTGTTGTATCTAAAACCTCACTACACTGAATAACTATCAAGATGTTGTTGAGGAAGCTCCCTACTGTAGAGACTCCCATCCCATGCCCGTACCAATGCCTGGTACTCCAATAAAAGCGTAGGGATGACCAAAGTTGAGGTCACTTGCTGTTTCTTCGAAGTCTGCTACCGGTGAAGGTTCATGGGGTTGATGATCTGCGAATACTCGTGCCCATATACCAAAGTGATAAGCACCACATAACTCCATCGCCTGCAAATGAGTCCTCGAGACAACATCTTCACCGTTTGATAGTGACCTTAGCCAGTGTTGGTGATGCGTGCCACTCCCATGCATCAACGCTAAGTACTATCACGAAAACATCACTTCCGAAGCGTCTGAGATCTGTTGACATCTTCTCTGAAGCTGCTGTATCGGTAAACGTATCATACCTGTGGGTTGGATGTTGAAGGGATGTAATGAGCATACTACATGCTCATATGAAGCAAATGAAGATTACGACGATCCAAGACTGTTAGAAGGAGTCCTTGCTCGGTGCTCCTTCGGAACACTACTTCCCCGTTAATACTGAGGCTCCCCCATCCAGCATTATTCCGTCCACTGCCTCTAAAGAGAATGCCGTTCACCCGTAGTGCGAGATGTGTTCATCATCACATTATCTCGAAAGGGGCCCGATCGATAGCCCCAGGGCGTATAGTGTGGGCTAGTAGCGTCTTCGCTGACCAGGGACCATTCCTTTGCTCGAGACCGGTTGCTCGGACACGGAACTCGTACGAGCATCCTTCGCAAATGTCCTCAGTGATCTGATGACCAAGCTCTATAAAGGCGTATATTTTTCCGATCCACCTCCCAATTAAAGACTCGACCGAGCCCGATGAAGATCGGTTGCCATTGACTCCATTCGACTCGCTCCTCTAAATCGTATGTGGCTTCGGAAGGTGGCAAGGATGAGTCCCACAAGCTGTTGGTATGAGGCCTTTCCTCGAGAACGTCTAGGTAGACTTTC